CCTCAGCAAGCCTGCTTCTTCTTAATCATGCATGCGATCCTATATAATGTACAATGAACTAGCCGATATCTTCAGCGAATGCGATGATACTCGCACTCAGAATGATGTACACAAACGTTCTCCAACCGCTTCAAAGAAGTCTATTTCTTCGATGCTTTGCCCTGATATTCGATGTCGTACTGAAAAAACGAATCCCATATGCTTCCCTTCCTCGCGAGCGGCGACTTTCGAGAGTCACTAAGAGGACTCCTCAGATCGCCTTGACTTCCGAGTCTGCTTTTGACGGGAGATGTATCCGATCGTGGATTTGATGGGCTTGATATGGAGGTTTTGCGCAGAGCCTGGAGCTGGGCGATGGATGACTGCGTAGTGTTAGCGATGTAAGCAAAGGTTATGGTTCGGGGAGCTTAGATTTACAGAAAGCGAAAACCTAAGGTCCCCATAGTAGGTCGCGCACATTGCCTCCAGTTCCATCGTCCGCAGACTTGTCTACGCCGTTCGTTGATGACTCCCTGAGATGACTAGGACCATGTGTGCCAGCTGGACTCGCGCCTCGTGTTGCTGTCGCAGAGTTTGGGTTCGAGTCGGGGCGTTCAGCTGGCGAGAGCGCTTCAGCTGAATTGTGACGGCCAACTAGGGGCGCGCTCTTCTTGCTTGTTCCGCTGCTGCGGCGACTGTCGAGTGATTTCCCAAGTTGAGTTGCCGGGTCCATGGAAGACTTCTTCTTCGCTTTCTGCATCTCACCCAGTCCGGTTTCCAGGCTGCTCTTCACCGTGACTGCACCTTTGATACCGGGGGTGCCTGGAGCCATCGCCTTCTCTTCAGTCGCCTCCAGCAGGTACCATCTTAGTCCATCAGATAGATCGAAAGGATTGTCGTCTTCGAATGAGATGGCATTGCTAGAGGCGACAGATCGACCATCTAATGATGCTCGAGTTGCACCATCCATCGTCTTGGAAAGGTCGACGACGCGCTCCTCCACCTTTGAGATGCGCGCCACAAGCCACTCTTTCCCACCCAATCTATGCGTGTCTTGCTCACGAAGGAAGAAATGTGGTGCACCAACATTGAAGGCAGCCCAAGGGCGATGCGCATTGTTGCGGGTCGGCAAGAAGAGTGCAAGGTCGCCTTCCTTGAAGGAGCGATAGGCGATCTTGTCGTGCGAGTCAGCCTGAAAGCGATGGGCCTTGTCGCGATATGCTCGGGCTTCTTTCTGCCACTTTCGTGCAGTGTGCTCCATGTCACGCATCCGCTTCGCAACAGCGTCGCTAAAGGTTTCAGTGTTGAAGAGCTCGAGCTTCTGGATAAGTTCCTGGTACCGCTGATCTTCTTCCTCTGGGCTTGTAGATTCGGTCCATTGAAGGAAGTGAAGATCTCCGACGTCTTCCAAGAAACGCTTGAGGGGAGTGGGCGAGGGCGTTGTTGTACTTCGACTAAGTCCTGCACTAGTGTCTGTCATGATGGTGCTATTCCCAAGTCTAGACGCTCGCTGGAGGATCATTTCACCGTTCTCATGAGTGATGACGAATCCAAGTGTCTCGACTAGACGGATCAGACGCTCATGCTGCGTGTATAGCCGTTCGCTAAGGTCCTTCGCCCGATGCATACGTTGGTGGGTACGGGACGAGTCCGCTTCCTCAAGCTTGCGGAGTTTCTTCTCTACGCGCATAAGCTCGACATCGAGGCTGTTGGCGTGCGAGCTTTTTTCTGCGAGCTCGGTTTGAAGACGACCGACCTTGGCCTCTTCCTCCTCAACGCGCTTCCGCAGAGCTTCGGAGCCGGTCTCGCCTTCAGCGAACTTGGCGCGGAGGCTATGTAGATGCTTTCGTTCCTCTTCAAGTTCTGCAGTGATAGAAGTGACACGGGCCTTCTCCACGTCAAGCTCTTCGCGGACAGCTGCAACTTCCTTCTCGTGTTCGGCAAGCTTGGTGTTGAAGTCTTGTTCTTGCTCTTCGATCCTAGCATGGGCATTTTCGTTGTCTGACTTTGCCATCGCCACAGCCTGTTCTAGCTCTTTTTGGTGGTTGAGTGATCGCGCTGCAAGATCTTCAAGTTGTGCGACAAGCGTAGCGTGATCGTCCGGTACGTTGGTACCTGGCGACAGGTGGTTGAAGGTTGCTGTTAGCGAGTCAAACTCCTGCGTCTTGACTGCTGCGCGTTCACGGAGCTCCGCTTGAAGAGCTTCGATGCGCTTATCTGCTTGTTTACTCTGTTCGGCAGCATCTTTGCGGGTTGTTTCGAGTTGCGAAACCAGCTCCTGGACTCTAGCATCTACACCTGTTCGCTCATTATCCCGACTGCCTAGGACGCGATCAAGTTCATCTTCGGCTTCTTCGATCTTGGCCTTGCATGCGCGGATCTCGTCTTCTAGTGATTTGCGTTCGTCGGCAAATTCTTTTTGTTGCGCTCGCATGTTTTCCATGATGTTGTTCTTGGTTGACATGGCCTCCTCAAACTGGCGTTGCTGATCTGCATCCTCGTCTCTCCGTGCTTGCGCATCGCTCTCAAGTTTGGCACGAGCCTCTTTCTCAGCCGCGAGCTGTTGTTCAAGGCGAAGAATACGACGCTTGTCTTCTTGTCCTGTATTCGCCGAGTAGCGCCTGGAAGAGATCGAAGAGCGACGGGATAGCTCTTCTTGGGGTCTCGGTGAAGCGACTTCTGCTGTTGGCGTCGCGGGGTCGGTTGGGTCAGGTATACCGAATGAGGGAGGCGCGCCACCTATTGAGAGTCTGTTGGCCGTACTCTGGCGATGTACCAGATCCTCCAATCGTCGCACCCGGCTCCTGTAGCCTTTCAGCTCCTCCTCGAGTTTTGCATTGCCCTCTTTGAGTACACGTAGCTCATCGTCGCCTCGCATCATGAGCTGGGAGCCTCTGCCGAAAGCTGGCTCATGGACACTACCCATCTTGAAGTTCTTTGCGCGTTTGATCTGTTGCTTTGTAGGTCGGTCAAGATCCTTAATAGCTTGGGCAAATAATTCGGCTTCCGATTGCTGTCCATCCAGTCTCTGCAAGTCCTGGAGGTAATCTTGGAGCTCTTCTCGAGTGACCATCGGCCAGACGGTCTTTTCAGGTTGCACGTTCAGCTCGAATCCTAATGAGCCACCTTGCAAGGCTTCGAGGTTTACAACATCTGATATTGGCTTCAGCCATCGCTTGCGCCGACGCTCTTCCTCTTCCTGAAACGTTGCCATTTCCTCAGCAAGCGAGGATGTATCCTTCTCCATCCTTTCTGTCCACTCTCGTCTTCGGACGGCTTCGACTAGCAGTGTACCGTATACATAAGGCAGCCGACCGACGAGGGAAATGAGCTCAAAGGCAGCGACACCATCGTCTGGGATACTGATCTGCTCAAGTTGCGCACCGACGCTCGCAATGACCGATTCGATGTTTGCGATACCCTGCATGCTCTCGACCGAGTTCCTGATGGAAGCATTCTTCTGCTCCACCGCCCGTCGCACGAGATCGCTCATCTCCACGCTGTATTCTTGTATGGCCGGTAGAAAGTTTCGCGTATGAAGCAAGGCCATTTTGGACACCTGCGCGACCGACTTCGGGTTTGCTTCTAGCCCCATGACGTGTTCAAAGTCCGACTCGACCTTCTTAACGACGGCATCGATCTCGTTGTACAGGCGCGTGGGCTCTTCGGAATCATCAGCCATGGAACGGCTCTGGCTTTGGCCGACGGCGCTCAGGAGTTGGTTGTAATCTGTCTCGATATTCTCTAGCTGCATGCGCATCTTATCCATGTGTTTGCCAAAAGCCTCCCGAACGCGCTTGCTTGTGGATGTAGCCTTTTTGATCGCTTCGACGTCGAGGAACTCTTGGAGGGTCTTGCGAACAAGAGTACTACTGGGAATGCTCTGGGGAGATCTCATCTCCTTGGCCAAGAAGCGCGCGAAGTTCAAGGTAGCAGGCACCGTTCCCAGCTGCTCAAAGTCGGCATCAAGCCGCCGTATGTTGTCACCGGCTTCCTTCTCGACCCCATCGTACCATTCCCTTGCTGCCTTGTACTTCTGGTCCAAGCCCTTGATGTGCGCATCGTGGTTCCCGACGGCGACCTGGGTTGCTCTCTCGATGGTGACTTGTTCGGCAAAGTGCTTCGAGGCGATCTGGGACATGGAGAGCGACCTTTCGAGCAGGCCAAAGGCCCAGTCGCGGCGGGCCTGGAAGAGGGCCTGCCATGCTCCGAGGTCGGTGTTCTTCGCAAGGTGGTTCGGCGCATCGTCGGGTTGGAAGGCATCGGGCAGTGGTGTGGAGGATATGGCAGCCTGCGGGTTGTTGGAGAGTTCGCGACTGAAGACGAATATCTCTTTCTGTGGCACAAGTATTAGTGTGTGTCCTACAAATCCCACAGTAGACGCGTACCTCAGTTAAGAGCGCCTGGAGCTTGACGTGTTTGCCCTGTGTTGTGAGTAAGACCTGTTGCTCAGGCGCTATCTCGGTTGCCCTCGAGATCCAGTGCTTGAGCGCATCGACTGTAGTAAAGGCGACGGGATCAGCGTCGAGGCGCTGGCCCGTATGAGCTACAGCGATCTGTAGCGACATTCGGCCTTGCCCTCCGCTTGGTGGAGTTGTGTCGAAACCGTGCGAGAGCGGATTCGAGGCTTGGAAAGTTGAGGCGTGAGCACATGCGTACCAGATACCGCCAAGGAGGGTTAATGCAGGGATCGGCGCATGGGCCCCGCGAGGCTGCATCATAGCAGTCACCTAGAGGAACCATCGCGTGCCGTCAGGTGAACACGGTCTCGGTCGCAAACTTGAATCTACGTCAACACCGTCTGCGAGCATTATGGCGGCCAAAGGCGATGTTGGCATGGCAGACGCGACGGCCAAAACACAAGATCCAAACGACTACGCGGACTTGCTGCAAACAAACCATAGCGACGCGTTCGCGTTTTCAGATACCGAGGAGCTAGCCCTACAGCTCTACGATCAGCTCAAGGAACTTGAACTGCAGCAAAGCCTGCTACAAGCACAACAATCAGGCACGTCTCGCACATGGTATGATATAGCATCTTCGTATATTAATCGCCTTCTGTAGTGCACGCGCATGACTTTGCATCACTTCCAGATGACCTGCTGGAGGAGCGCCTGACTATTGCGCAGCGCGAGGCTATGGAAGCGAGGGCAGAGTACGAGATAAGGAACAAAATCGTACACAATGTTCTAGTAATGGATCCCGTTCTGAAAGCCGTTCATGGCGGCGAACAGACTCCATTCGCCGAGAAGTAAGTTCCTGGGCAGATCGCTCTGAATCATGGTCTGATGTTGTGTAGGCGCATACTGCCGCTGGTGACCGAGAACGATGCTGTTTCCATGATCCATGGCTCACTGACGTCGAAGCTTGCTTCTACGAATAAATTTCTGAGTGTGGCCGAACAGAACAACATTGTCGCAAATCAAAAGAACCGAGAGCTGGCGCAGACCATGCTTGCTCTGGCCGAAGAAATGAAGGCGCAGTCGGTGCAGGACATTGAAGATCCGCAATTACGTCAACGCGTCGATGCGGTCGATAAGGAGCTCAAGGACTCGCGACGGAGGGTGAGGACGTTGAAAGGTATATTATCAGCCATGATCGTGGGTAGCGGGATCAACTGGGCTGCGGACGAGGGTCTGACGGAGCTCGTCATGGAGGATGAGGACGATTGAGTGCCATCCATCCTTTCGTCTGCTGCTGCGACTATGGATGGATGCGAACTGTATCTGAGAGCAGCCGTATGTACACGTTTAATGACTTGTTGAGGTGCCTGCATGCTGCTGCACGATCTTGCGCTTCATGATGTTTGTTGATGATAAACATCATGGCTGATGCGAGAGCGGTGATGCCCAACGTCGTGCGTCCTATTTACATAGATGCAGACGGAACTTCTTCAGTAAGATGAGGGCCTGACAGCTATGGGTCACGTCGGGAGGGTACGCGAAAGTCTGTAGCCCTCGGTGGCTTTTGAAAGGGCGAGTCTGAGCGTCTGCTCCGCTGTTAGGGGCTTGAGAGGCCGATGGCCGAACACGTCCGCCACGATTCCAACGTGATAAGCAGCCAGGAGGAACAAAGAGTGTTTCTTGAGGCAAGTGGAAGAGCAGTATTGGAGCAGTGTCTCGCATTAGCCTAGCGACCGCTTCCGTGCTCGGTCGGGCGAAAGTGCAGAGCCAGACCGCTGTGGCCGGAAGCGGGTGCAGAGGCCGCCGCCCATCACCATAGCGTGCCCAGCTATGACAGAAGGCCAGAGTCACGGCTTGTGCGGCAGAGTCTGCGACCAGACGTAGGCTGACATGTAACTCTGCTGCTCTGGACTTGCTCAGAACACCAAACGGGCTGCAGGCGGATGCTTTGAGGGGTGGGCAGGTTGGGCGACTGGGACTGGATGCTGGGTGCTCTGGTGCTCGGGGAAGAACATCAGCCAGCCGCGCTATGAATGATAACGTCAAGGGCCGCTTCTGATGGATGCGTCCAACGAATGGTAGACCGTGTGCTTCTGCGTGCAATCTAACCAAACTTGAAACTCGCCAGGAAAGAACGAAGGGCAGCGCCTCCGCGCCCAGGGATGCGCCGTGTAGCCCGCAGCAGTGCGAGCACCTCGGAGCATACCTGGGCGACACCGACACGTCTGCTAGAGACTGGACGGCAGTGCGAGTAGCAAAAAAGCGACGATGAAGCTGTCCACAATCGCTGGCATCTGCATCGGGCGCATGCGGTGAGGGAGCGCAGCATCGGCTGGGTGGAGGAGGGGTCGTGGTCCGGGTGCGTGTGCTATGGCAGTAGCAAAACAAGCGTGCCTGCCTCGTTCGCACCTTAGGTAAGCGGGGCCTTGTTGTTGGGGGAGGGCGCGCCTTCCCTCTCACAAAATGTGCTGCTGAGCCCTCACCCAATTCCTCCCCTAACAAATCCGCCGCCCATACAACTTTCGCCCGCAAAGACGTTTGGTGAGTCCGCCTGCATTTTGACGAAGTCGCAACATCACCAGCACCACTTTTCGCAACCACACCCTTTTTCCACGCGTTTCCCCGGTCCAATTGCCCCAATATGGACTCTCCCAGCCTTCTTTCTTCCGTCTTCTGAACGTCATTACCTTCAGTCGATTCTTCATCGCCGTCGCCAGCACCCACTGCCACGCGCACACTGACCGCAAAACAGACCTCAGTCAACACTTCCAATTTGCTCCCATCTAGCTACTTCTGTAAGTACCCGCACCTTCTCTTACCCGAAAATCGCGCATCATCGCGTTGTGTTGTGGTGTTTTGCGACCGCGTCACCTCACGCGCATAGCAGCGCTGCACCACCATTACCCACTCACCACAACACTACTCCGTTTGCAGACGAAAACACTAGCTGTGGCCTATACTCGCATTCTCAATCTCACCAGCAGCCATTGTGCCTTCCTGCCACGCTACTCTTACCTACTCGCTGCTTGCAACCCAAACAGCAGCTAACAAGGAACCACAGCCATATACACCACTCAACCACCACCATGCCCAAGGAGAAGACCACCCGCAAGGCCGCGCCTAAGTCCAAGGCTGACGGCGGCAAGAAGAAGAAGGGTAAGCAGCTCACGTGCATCTGCAGACTCGGGTACTGACTCCAGCAGACCCCAACGCGCCCAAGCGTGGTCTTTCCGCGTACATGTTCTTCGCCAACGAGCAGCGTGAGAAGGTCCGTGAGGACAATCCCGGTATCAAGTTCGGTATGTTTGCGCTCTTTCTCCATCTTTGACTCCCCTCTAACATTGAACAGGCGAGGTCGGCAAGGTTCTTGGCGAGAAGTGGAAGGCCCTGAACGAGAAGCAGCGCACTCCCTACGAGGCCAAGGCTGCCGCCGATAAGAAGCGGTACGAGGAGGAGAAGGCCGCCTACCAGGTATGTTGATGCGTGCACTTCAAATTGATGATCACTTGACTAACCATCACCAGAACGCCGAGGAAGAAGAGGAGGAGTCCGAGTAGAGGCTATCGCCTCATTCGTGCTTCCACCAACAGCGTTGAAGATGTCTTGTCATGGGCGGCTAGGCTACCAAGCCTGTCTCGATTTCATTTGTGATCTTCCTACTTCTTAATGGGTTCGTTATCTCTCGCGGAGGAAGGTCTTCGGCTAGCCAATCTGTGGTTCATTTCGAAAAGGACGCTGGCGGTCAGTGCAAACCACGCTGATGGCGGGCGGTCATGATGTTTGGGCGTCTTACCCTCGACGTCGTGAAAGGAACATCACGAAGCTCATGACCAAGTCTATGTACACTAGCAATTGCGGTATGGAAAGTCTTTGCTGCTTCTACAATGTTCCCTCTGCTGTGTGACCGTGATGTTGATGCGATCAGGCTTGTGCGTAGCACTACGCATGCTGATGGTAGCTCAGGTCCCAGCTCAGCCCCTGACATTGAAGTTTGTGTCTTGCCTGCTGTCAAAAGTAGGCCATGACGGCGTGATAGACCCTTCCGTTCGTAGCAACCGGAAGTTGGCCCTCTAGCGACAGGTCTTTGACGTTTCCTCACACCGCCGAACCGGGTGCCCGCATTCACGGTAGGGGTTGTTTCCCTGGCTTCACAACCACACTTTCACAAACCCCACCCCCTCAATCCACTCACTCTATCTCAAGTCGCCTATATAATGTCTCTAACTCGTTCCTAGTCCATCAATCGATCATTGCATCAAAGCGCCGTTGGGCTAGTGGTATGCTATCGCCTTCCCATCGTACATCGGACGACAAACAAGGCGGGGATCACGGGTGTATGAAATACCAACAATGCCTCAATTCGAATCGTAGAGCTAACAATCAATTAGTCAAACCCCGTACGGCGCATTGCTTTCTTTTTGCCGCTCCTCCACGGAAGGTGGGGTGTGTTTTTGCCGGGGGTGTCGCGTGGGAGTGAAGGCTTAGTGATGTAGAAATGAGGTAGGTGATGTCATTCTGGGAGGCATTGGGAAGGTGCAGGCGATGAATCTCTTGTCCGGAAACAAAGCCCTGAAGTGTGCTTAGGTATGCTCACTAGTGAATGCAAGATGCGCATGAGGCGCTGGTCTACAGTCTAGAGAACGTAGCTGGATGGAAGCTTGATCGTCGGTATGACTTTTCGACTTTGATAGATACTGAACATTGTCTGGGTATGATTTGAACGCCTAGCAGTGCCGCCTCCTGGCAGCAGAAACACATAGATCATGGTAGGTACGGAGCAGTCCAACCACATCGTAACCACCCATCTCTTTCTCCCACCTTTTGGAAAGATATCCATTGACGTGAAAAGCACTCTATGCGAATGCGCAAGGACTACTCTCTTTGTAAAACCACCATCACACCCATCATGCCTAACATGACCTGCTTCAGCCAGGGATGCTCGCTCAACAGGATGGTAACGTATCCAACAAAGGGTATGAAGCCGACGACGCTTCCGATGACATCTTCTTTGCGGTTCAGGAAGGATTGGCCGGCGGCGTAGAGTTCGGTGTCGTCCGCGAGGTTGTTGTCGCCCTTGGTCAGGAGGCGGAGGGGTGTTTTGCTAGTAGTTGGGTCAGCATGAGCTTTGTGGTAACGTCTGAAAACCTGCGAGCTGATTTTGACTCCTCCTACCCTCATTGAGAGCCTCAGTCACAGCGAAGGGGAAAGAGCGCGACTCACCCTCCTCCATATCTCCTCACAACGCGATGCACGATCGGGATGTCTTTGCCCTTGACGTTGTACACCACAATCTCGCCCACTTGTGTATCTGCCCCCCGGTTCCACAGGAACAGTAGATCTCCTCGTTGGAATGCAGGCTCCATGGATCCTGACAGGACGACGACAATGGGCGAGGGCGAGTCGGAGACGACGGACAGTCCTTTCCACATCATGAAGGCGGTTGAGAGGACGAGCGCGAAGTTCAGGACTTGTGCGGCGAGTTGCCGCGGCTGCATATTCGCAAGGCCCAACATAGCTGCGGGTCGGGAATGCTGATGCGAAGGTTGGAGGTAGAGGTGCGCTCGTTGATCGTGGAGTGGGACGTGGGGCGCGCGACCGGGTCGTAAACTCGCGTCTTGAGATTATGAATTCACCGCAGGCGTATGTGGGGGTATGTGTAGAGGTGGGCGGCGCGGCGACTTGCGCGTCGGGGAATTCGTGGTCGAGATGTTGAAGCCAGATGTCCTTGGCTTCGCTGTTGCGGGCAGCTTAGTCAACCTCCGAGATGTGAGCTATGAACTCCGCATCCCTTTCTGCTACTTGACCATAACAACACACGACACTTTCAAATAGCGGAACACGACTCATAAGCCTCAGATCCATCATGTGTCGGTCTGATAACGGTTGTGAGGGACTTGTCGCGCATGGGGGTCTGTTTTCGTCTTTCACCTGGCATAATGGCCCTCACCTGAGCCCGCCTTTACCCTGAGAACGTATCCACACGATGTCTGCTTATATTAGGCTTCGTTTAGACGCTCACATAGAACACTGCTCATGTCTTCTTACTCTCAATAGATTGAAATTTGTTCTACAACTATCACACAACTGTCGCTCACCAGCTCTCATTCCTCTCTGCCATCCTCCAAACAAACAGCTCGGTATTGCATTACCAACGAGATCATGATGCAATTCTCCCCAGGTGCACTGATACTGTACCGAAGGTCCACGTCATTCTTCCCACTATGGCCCGCAGTCATCTGTGAAGAAGACATGGGAGCAGAAGAAGTCAGGGAAATACGACCTCATGGTAATTCAATTCTGGTGTTGCTGATGGGCGAGCAGTTGATCCTGTAAGAAACATTGTAGCTTGATGAATATCTTGACTCTGCTAACTCAAGAAGTCGCTGGGCGCATACCGAAGACATAGGGGAATATGACCCTTTCGCGCCCCATACGCATGCGGAGGTCATCGGGAGCACACCCGGCCTCGGTGATGCATATATAATGGCGAACAATGCGCTTGAATCAGGTCTAGATCTTGCTTACTGGAAAGCACAACTGATGAATCTAGTCAGCGACGCTTCAGACTCAGACAACGATGCGAACGACTCAGATGAGGATTCACACTCAGATCTAGAGCTGCGAGAGGCTCTCCGCTTGAGCCGAGAACACTACTATAGCAAACGATCGAAAGGATGGACTGCGAAAGGTTCTTCCAACTTACCAAACGCACCACTGTCATCAGCAAGACCAGCGAGGTTCCAGAGCAATCGTTGCGTTCCCGTCATCGCCGGCGCGGATAGTGCCCCAAACACGATTTCAAATGCATGGGAAGCTCCCTCGAGATCTGTCGCCAGCTCATCGCAGCCGTCCAGAGTCCACCGTGACGCATCAACCCCGCAGGGTCGGCTACATATGAGCAGAAAGGATACGCCTATAGAACTAGCAGATGACTGTAGTACATCAATCGAATCGAGACAGTTCCAACCGGGTGGTTTCCTGGATAATCAGCTCCGCAGCTTGGGCCGTGGTCGGAAAGAACCCATCAACGACACCATCGAGGGTGAACTGTAAGTTTTTTGATCTCTCAAAACTTCTCAGCTAACATGATTAGGTCCGAAAGCAAGGAATTTGTTGAAGTTCTGGTCGGACCTGACCAAGAAATCTATACGTTTCCACTGCAGAGCTTATGGAACCGACACTATTTCAGAGATCCCAAACAGGGCCTTCTTTTGATTGATTACAACAAAAGAGGGATGTGGGAGCTCAAACATCCTTCTCTGTTCGACATCAAGCCGGACGATTTCGTCTTCGTCGCAGAATACCTGGAGAGTGATGACTTCGGACATCGGAACCCGCAAGATGGCGAGGAAATGACAGAGGCATTCGCGCAATGTGTTGCGGCATGGGTCACCGCGGAGAAGTTGGGCATGTCAGACATGATGGACCACACCGTTGAGAAGCTAGAGCGCTTGGAACCAGAAATGCTGGAGATCTTGGTGTTCTGTCGACATGTTTACGCACGCGAGACAACTTCAATCTCCCATGAATATCTTAAGGGTCATTTGGCCGTATACATTGCGGACAACTTCTGGGAATATATCAAGGACGACCACTTGAGGTCGAGCTTCATTGAGCTACTGCAACACTTCCCAGAGTTGCAGCAAGACGTTTACGAGCGGAGGATTCTGGCGCTGAAAGAATGCGTTGATCAGAGTCAAGAAGATAGTGATACTGACATGGACTGAGTATGTCATGGCTCATCGGGTTGTTCTTCTGGTTTACGTGTTTTGCTTTCAAAAAGTTCAATTATGTTTTTCTTCTAGGTTGAGAGAGGACGAGGAACAAGTCTCTTAATATCTTCATCATTGCACTTGGAAAAGCTATTCCAGTCCTGAGCATGTCTTGCCAGAAGCCTCTTTCACATCCTTTATCCAACAGACAAGTCGAATGATTGCCCAGCTTCAATTGCAGTATCTTGAACAGTGCAAAGAACAAGCCTCAGTCGGAGTCGCTTTCGAACTCCGGAACATTCGGATCTAGGCGAATGTGGTCAGTATGCCGTCCTGTTTGTCGCCCGCTCATCGCGCAGATACATACCTCGAAGCGCCATATACTCCAACGTACCACCAGCCTTCTCCGCAAGGTTGTCCCTCACCAGCGTCAAGTCCTCTTCCGAGAGCAGCGTGTCCGTGTCTGCCATGTCTATCGAGAGACGGATGGCCTGATTACCCGGTCCGAGTCTCGATACAAAGTCCAGTAGACCATCCATGGTGAATTTGGATATACCGGAAATAGTAACGGTACGTAGATTTGGCAAGCTGGCGAGGTGAGGAAGCACAATGTCGTTGAGCTCCAGGCCGCTTACGTACAGATCCTCCAGCATTATGAGCTCAGCGAGAATGGTGACGAGATGTTCATCCCGCAGCACCTCCGGAAGAATGAGGTGCAGATCTCGCAGCTCTGTCAATTGCTTCAAAGAGTCCACAAGAGTATCCAGATCATCTCGAAACATGCCATCGGTATCGCCACTCAGGAAGAGCACCCTCAAAGAAGACTGCTGGTGTACGAGAGCCTGATGGAACGTCTTGTGATCTTTTAGCGTGTACGAGTCTATCTCTAGGCTGCTGAGTTGTATCTTCTCTTCGAGCAGTACGGGCGTGATGAGTGCGGCTCCGGATTGCATTTTCGAGAAGCTGAGGCGTTGTAGATCTGAACATTTGCGTAACCAGGCAGTCGTCTCGAGGAAGACGTCATGTTCTGTCGCTTCCAAGTCTACAGTACCATGGATGTCCTCAATGCGTAGCGTTCTTAAAGCCGTGCATCCTTGTAGTAGCGAGAGGTGCGGTATTGACTCTTTCGAAACGCACAGTCTCAGATCTTCTAATGAGTTTCCATGGTGATTGAGAGCTAGTAGTGACTCGGCACCGGCCTTGACGTCGCTGATGGTTTGGAGTGTTTGGAGCGTGTTCGGTCGCATGGAGGAGAGGAATTTGGCGAACTTGTGATCATTGTCTTCTGAGACCCAGGTATAGATCATAAGAGATTTGAACTGCGGACAGTGGTCGTAGATAGATGCATGAACCAGTTCGTCTTCTAGAGGCTTTCCGTCCCACAGCTCAAGGCTCTGTAGTCGAGGAAGCCGGGGCGTCCATCGTACCAGAGCACCAGGCTGGACTAGTATAGTTAGCTCATATCCGAATGTTGAGAAGAAGGATGTACTTACGTTCACCGCTGATGATCTCCAGGGTTGGAGTATGCTGTGTGACCACTGCACAACGTTAGTATCGTACTGAACAGCTTCGCGCATTTATCAAACCTTCACCAATCGCGTCGATGATATCCGCTGTCTTTATCCGAGTGTACTTTCTGCCTTTGATGTTCGTCCCTGTCTCAGTCTTCTCGAACTGCTTCAACGGCCCGGAGAAGAATTGCCTATATTACAATCAGAATTGGTGGTGTCTGACATCGAAGCTGTACTGACTTGGAAACTTTCGCACGGAATTGGTCGTCATCGAGGAGATATCCCAGATCCCGGAAGTCTAGCGATTTGATATAACGGCAGTATGGGAATAGTGTGACATCGAGTGCAGATGCGACAATTGATCGCCAAAGAATGGACCTAAATATGGGTGTACGAAGTCAGTGTTTGCCCCATACAGTTCGCACGGTAAAGGTTACGTACCATTTTTGGATCGTGAGAAGCTTGGTGGCAGCTGGTAAGCCATAGAGATCTTCTCCTCCACCTCGAACAGGCGCGAGATGATGAGATCTAACGACCACGTCAGTTAATTGACGATAAAGTAGCGAGGCCAATGCGACATACTTATACAGATGAGTTAATGCAGGTACGGCGAGAGCACGGCTGGCGCAAGCACAGTTAAAGAGTGTGTCGAACTGTTCTTGATTCGCAAGCTCTTCGCATAGGAGATGCAGAATATCATCAGGAAGCACTGATTGAGTCATTTTGTTTGTGCTTACGAGGGCTGAGATCGTGCTCCTAAGTAAGGTGAATAGATGGCCGCCCATCAGAGTAGGCGCGATGATGTCAATGCGCTAGCGCGTGTTTGACGCGCTCTTCCCGCTTTCGGTCGCCGGGGCTCGTCGCGATCCCACCCAAACACCCTGCGACAATGCGACCAGTCGCACGAAGACAAGATGGTTGTCCTCAACTTCACCCTGACGCCCGAGGCAGCGTCTAAGGTTCACGATCTGCTTGTTTGCCTTGGCAAGTTCAGCGAGAGTGTAGCCATTGAAGCGCGTCGCGAAAAGGTAGGTTTGCCGCTCTTCCTTCTAGTCAGTCCGGCATCTCATACCTCTTGCGTCAGTTCACATTTACCGCTCTCAACTCTTCCAAATCCGCATATGCCGCCATCACATTAGACGGTCGACAATTCTTCGCCAGCTATGAATGTGTGCCGACTTATGGCGGTCCTGACGGCCGCTTCACGTGCAGTATGTACACCAAAGCGCTCTTATCGGTCTTCAAAAGTCGCTTGTACGACCCACTAGGGCGTGATGGTGCGATCGATCGCTGTGAAGTCAGTGTGCAAGAGCGGGAAACCGAGGCGCAATGTCGATTCATCGTCAAGATGATCTGCAACCAGGGTGTCATCAAGACCTACAAGCTCACATATGAAGCCGTGGACGTCATGCATGCACTGTTCGATCGCAACGCGGCGAAAAACAGGTGGAGCATGCACTCCGGGGCTGTGAAGGAGTACGCTGAATATTTCGGTACCAAGACCGAAATGCTCGATATTTTTGCGAGTGAAGACGGACGCTGCGTATTTAAGAGCTACACAGAAAAGATCTCGAACGGGAAGGAAATCCTGAAGCATCCACTTGTCACAGCAGTCGCAGTCAATACTTCCGACTTCGAGGAATTTACTGTGCAGGCGGGTATGCACATCATCATCAACGTCAAGGATTTCAAGGCAATAGTCGTCCATGCAGACACAATCAAGACAAGCTTAAAGGCATTTTACTCCCAGCCAGCGCGACCACTTCAGTTCAGCTATGGAAGCGATGGGCTGCTCTGTGAGTTTACGCTAATGACTTCTGGCAACCACACCGCCGCTCCATCTGCGCCAACACCTGCGACGCACGCAATGAGCAGCAGACAAACCTCTCGCACGACCTCAACCACAACTGCGGAGCGTGGACAGAGTCGCAGCTTCCGATCTGATATGCCACCGCCTGTGCAACCAGCATCGCGACGCGATGCCTCTGGCCGAGTGCGGAATCCAGGATCTCGTCAAGTCTCGGCACTGCAAGCACAACCTGCCCGTGACGATTCGGAAAGCCTCTTCGTACCAGAGGATGAGGACGCAGCCTGGGCGCCGGTAGACTATGATAAGGAAGAGACTCTGGGGTGGGACGTGAATGCCAACAACGATGCTGCAGCTTTTCCAACATTCACGGACAGTGTTGGTGTGTCGAAGACGAATACGGCGGACAGCAACGAAGTGTTTGAGCCTACGCAACGTGTATCTCAGATCAAGGGACTATGGTAGTCGCCTGACACTGACGACCGCATATTGCACAATGTGGGCTGTTCAAGGCCCAAAGCAAATTCCAGCTATCGCAATGGATACACATTCACATCTCCAACGCCAGCGGCTTACCATATCTTCTGCATCGTCTCAACTAGTGTATCTCCTGTCTGTCCGCAAGATCATGGAGGCTATCACTCTGAGACTTGTGGCGAGGTTGCAGTGGAGCCGTTAAGATTAACCTGCTGGAAGCATGGTACTCTGAGTGGAGGAAAACGATCGTTAACATTCGCGCACATATCACAGTACTATCGCTATTTCATATATAGCGTCACAAATGAGAGAAGTCGCAAGTATAATGTACTGGGTCACTAGACCGGTCGATTGAACGGGACGCTGAACATCCTGAAGAACACGTGCATGAACTACAGCTATCCAACTGCATCATACACAAATGCGTAGTACGTTTTAGAAGATGCAAAGAAGAAAGATGCATCGAACTTGTTTCCTCTGTTGCGCGATGAGGCACATGGTACTCTTGGGGTTCGTGATGGCGATGGTGGCTTGATACCTGCAGGTCGGCGTGGCCGGTCCATGAGATGTTTGCTTGTTTACAGAAGCGACTCAATGTGCTCAGACTTTTACGTTACTGAAGATGCCTGGCAAGGCTTCTTCTGCTTACGCTGATCTACCGAATTGCCAAAGTTAGGAAATGGATTCCTTCAAAGCTGACCTAAGTATAATTGATAGAACACTGGATATCATCCAGGATGTCAAGGGTAGCACGCGCACAGATGTACGAATTTGTGCAACCTTCCACAGCGTCGGCTGCGCAGCTTCCACGGCCTGCGACAGCATCAAAGGTGCGAGTCGATGACGTGGATCTCGCGTACGCGTATTCGCGGATGGTGGGGCTCCAGGATTGTCTAGAGAAAACGATGTAGGGGATCTTACTACATGTTATATCCAGACGATAGTGAAACAACGCCTGCATACTCTTCTCGATCGACAATGGCACCCAGACGCATTCTAGTAATCGCTGGCTCGGACAGTTCGGGTGGGGCGTACGTACGCGTGCATGCATCCGCCCTTCATCAGCCACACACCACTAACCATGCTGCCGCGCCAACAGCGGACTAGAAGCAGATCAGAAGGTCATTGCAGCGCATAGCTGCTATGCTATGACGGCTACGACTGCTTTGACAGCCCAGAATACTCTAGGCGTCCAGGACATACACCATACCCCGCCGGAC